AGCATTATATTTTTCGTTAGAATTAAAAAAATCTTCATCGTTTAGAATCATTGGACCCAAAGACCGGTTTGGTACTACGTTATGTACACTGTATGTTATTCCACTTCCGTAACCTAGATAAGGTATTTGTTATTCTCTTTTATAATGATTTACAATATAATTAAGGAAGTGGGAACTAATTTACAACAAGTGGAAGTGACTAAGTTTAGGTGATTATATATAAACAACTAGTTTCTCCCGACTTTGCACGGATTGACATATTTTCAAAAAGATAGATATAAAATGTATCTCATAATTACTCAGGGATTACGCAGCGTTGTAAAGGTAAAGATTTAAAATCGGTTACGTAGTTTTAGAGTTTATTCTCTACAAACCTATAAATATTTTCTCGTCATAACAAGATTAGAAGGATTAAGTACAAAGCAACAAATTCAATCCCCTAACCCAGAGTGGTAGACTGCGCGGTATTTCCACACCTCTTTTGTTTCTTCCACGTTCATATATCTATGTTTCGGATGCTCTGGATATCGCCGCACACATACCGAAGTACACAACCCAAGTAAACAAGTAATCATCAAACTTATTAAATCATATTTAATTAAAGAAAACGTTAAAAATAGTCTGCATAAGATGTGACCATGAAACAAATATGGATTTACCCATTTTATAATTCCGTGAATACAATTTCTCAACTGTACAGGGAAAGATATCGTAATATCGTATCAGCCTTCAGTTTCCTCATATTGAACAACTTGTATTGCTAAAAAAACTGTTAAAATTGTTCAAAATATGAGTAGTTTATACAGTTATGTTTATTTACATTAAACATTTAGGTTTAGAAAAATAGTACCTCTTATTTTTATGTTCTTAGATATGTTTTTATAAAGCTACTAGCTGTCGCCCACGACTCCGTCCGCGCGGGTTTAATAATAGATGTTGGCCGATTCTCAGACCTACTCAATATGCTCAAAAAATTTCATGAGAATCGGTCAAGCCGTTTCGGCGGAGTATGGGAAAGAAAATTGTGACACGAGAATTTTATATATAAGATATATTTATATCTTATCTATATTTTCATAGTCAAGCACTTTGCAAGAGACAGGCATAAAGAAAAAATCAACAATAAGTTACTAAATATTCATATTTATTGAACAAAACACTGTCGCTTAAAATATAAAAAAAATGCAAGTAATTTTTCTTAAATCACATTTTTTGCCATTTCGATAAAAAAGTAAACAATCATCATTTATATTGCTATTCTGTGACCTTTAGCAGATTATAATCTCGTTTTTGCATCACAACTAAGGTTTCTAAACTGATTACATGGCTTTACTGTATATACTTGACAATTTTTTCTGTTATATAAAGATACGGCCAAGGAAAGGTCCCTCCCGGAGGCTACTCTAATAAGAAATGTAAAAAGATACTTTTATATTAAGTCCGACATATTTCATTATAAAATGAGAAAAGATTCCAGTTTATATTAAAACAAGAAGATCTTAAAAATGGCGTTCAATGATTTTAAATAACTCTTGAGGCAAAAGATTAAAGTACTGACCTCCTTAAATTCGACACAGTCTAAAAATAAAAATACTTGCATGCCTTAACATATTTATTGTATGCGCCAAAACAGTCTTTAATGCAATTTGTGCGAAATAAGTCTTTATTTCAGGGCACGAAATCCGACGATATAAAAACAATTGTAATCTTATAGGTTTGTTTACGTGAAAAAATAACTAATGTACTACATATTTCGAAAAGTTATTTTTCGTAAAAATGGTAAGATCTTGCTCTACTCGAAAGTAAGCTTTGGAAGTGTCAAATTTCCCTACGCTGATATTTAAAATAATCCGTAATAATTATGTATTTTTTTTGTATCTTTTTCAAGAGACGACTTCTTTGTCATAACGAATGGTGAATGACGATAAGCTATACTAAATTCTAATATATATGAAGCTATCTTTTTACAGGGAATTATAATTTAATATGTTAATCTACTTTATAAAGCGTTAGTAGTATACTAACTTTATATCTATGAACACATAATATGTATGTATTTAGTGAATAAATGCAGTATATAATAGAAGTTTAGTTAGCGTGGTAATCGGTGCACAATACGCATGCGCCGTTTCCTTACCATAATATGTGCTCGCATAATCGTTAAACACATTTCAAAGACACGAACACACGTGGTCTATTGTCAACACATATTATATCACTATGCAATCAACGTTTGTTATGATTAGTTATGTTGCTAACGATTTTGTTCCTATCAAATAATTACTACAAATCCTTTTGTCATTTTAACAATACAGTTTGTATTTTATTGGAAAATCATTCGTAAGATAGTTTGGGATTAGGGTTGTTTTGATTTAATCAATGTTAGGCTATTTGAGCGTCAATAGCCTTATGGTTAAGGGTACGGATTTCCGATCACGAAGTCGGGGGCTCGAATCCCGCCATTCGACTATTGTCGTAAACCATATCACAAGCATAGAGCTTGTTTGGAATGGTTAAAGAAATATTAGTAAATTTACACAAAAATCTGCTAATATTTTAAACAAAAAAAAATGATTTTTAAGAATCATAATTAACATTTAATTCTTCTTATACTTTTAAATGATTAACAAAATTCATTTTAGAGTAATAAGTAAGTTAAATATTTTAGTTAATAAGTAAGTTTTAAGTAAGTTTCGTTTGTCTACTTGAATACGTTTAGTATCTCGACAAAAACGAGATGGCACTATATTTCCATTATATTTAAATAAGTTATGTTTTCACCTCTACGTTATAGCGATCATGTCACGATTTTCGTGTTTTTCAAATCAACCTATATTTATTTAATGTAACGAATGAAGATCACGGATTTTCATTTTACACGGTTCTAACACAAGACTCTCGATTCTTTCATCCCCCACACATATTTACAATATGACAATTGTTCATTATATTGATTATTTTAAATTAAAGACATGGAAGATTTCCACCTAAAAATAGTAAATTATTTACTTGATGCTAGAAGTAGAACATATGTATTGTTATTATAATTTTATAAAATTAACTGTTTCTGGCAGACAAAATAAACTAATACATCAATAAGAGATTAGTTACAGTAATTTTACGGTCACAAGAACGTGCCTAGATGCATAGACAATTTATTAAATAGTAGCAATTCGGTTACTTTGTGCACGTTATTGATGACGACTAATTATTCTATTTCTAGAAATATTACTCAAATTACTGTAGCGGACATTAAAAAACACAAAGAACAAATTATTAAGCATAAACATTATTTATGACGTCATCGTTACGTAGAAATAGTTTTAAAGTTATCATAATTTTACTTCTAATCTAACTATTACAAATTCGAAAGTTTAGATGGATGGATGTATGTTAGAAAGTATACCCGGAACGGCTCAACGGATTTCGATGAAATTTTGTACAGATGTAGAACATAATCTGGAAGAACACAGAGGCTACTTATTAAGTTTTTCTTTAAATTCCGCGCTTTTTTAAAGTCGTGGGCCACAGTTACTTTTACATAAAGAATAAGCGTAATAGGTAATTTCTTTACAATACAGCTTACAATGTCTTTTCTTGGACCCGAAATGAAATTATTTTGCTGAAATGACTTCCACTTGACTAATGCAAAACGTGCACAAAACGTAAAACACAGTATAATACTAAACATAGCATGCTCTGCACTTCTCCTATTACATTACATGACACTTTGTTTACATAACGAATATTATGTAACTAGAAATTATAATTTGTAAAGCGAGGACACGCTTTATATTAGACTAGTGAACTCAGATACGTTGTACGGGCGTGAAATTCATAATCTCAAACTATCAACTCTAAATGATCTCGGTTGCATTTGTTCTACTTTAATTCTAATCAGTCTATTCCAAATCTTTTCCATAAAATAAATATGCTTTTAGATATTATTAATTAGAATTCTATGGTAAGAATGGCGCGCTTTCATTACTAAGTTAAGTGTCAGAATGGATAGTGAGAGGACATAAACGTCGACATTTTAGTAAGGCTTGTTGTACCAATACACCGGCACAGTGTCGGATTTTCTTCCTAACAGTATTTATTCATATATCGATCATCTTTAATAGTTGTCCCAGTGTAATGCAAAATATCAATCCATATGAAGGTGTGTAATTTTTTGAAGGTTCAAAATTATAAAATCTATTAAGGCACGTTAGGGTATAAGCCAGACCTTATTGTTTCTTTTTCTGCCTATGTTGATGGCTTTTTATGGAATTTCAGTGACAACAAAAAGACTGAACTGCGCTTATCGGCGCCAGGTTTGAAGTGGATGACATGGTACTGCAATCAAAAGAAAAACAGATAGCCCAGGGAAATTCTATGTGAAATGATTACTATATCAATGAAGTACTTATGTTATCAATTATAATTAAAATTATTAAATACTAGCGGCCGCCCGCGACTTCGTCAGCGCGTAATAAAATAATTTTGTTCTTTTAGCTTTTCGCAATTTTTAGAAAAATATGTCCATAAGTAAATACATGCACTTTACTTTCTTTTATTGGCACATCATAATAATACATCTGACAAAACAACTTTTGATAACTTAACTCTAACTTAACATATCAATTGTGTAAATGTAACGGATTATATGTTTGCTTATGTTTTTTAGAGTTTTTAGTTTTAAATATAGAAGATTTAAGCAAAAACATTAACTGAAAAAGACCTGTAAAATTACTGGAAATTATGGCTCAACTTTGTCTTTACACCGGAAGTGGGCGTTGCCAATTACTATAGCACTGAAACTAAAATATAGGTATAGATAATTCCGTACATGATAATGCAGCTCGCGAAGTAGCGGGGTTAACGATTTGCTATAAACTTGACGATTGGCATTGACATATGACGATCTATTTCATGAGTAAATAGCGTAATCATACTATCGAGTAGAAAGCGTAGAGGGGCTGAGGTGAGCGCGTGGCAGTGGCGATGGCGATCGCAACACTAAGCTGGCAGTGGTGCGGTGCGGGGCATCGCGCGCGTGCGGCAGCCTCTAGACTGCTGGTGTGCCGCTGACGCGCTCAGCACTCGCACGCCGCTATCGTGTACATTTCGCAGTGCGGAGTGCACAGTTTACTCGCAAACATCGCGTCCGTGCCCGCGCCCGCGCCCGCTCAGCGTAACACTTCGCCCTCGTATAAAGGCGGACGCCCGCGCGCACTCGCACGCAGTCGCGACTTAACCGCCACCTCTCTTGCAACATCCGACTTTCACGCGACCGATACACGGGCACGACAGCCACACGCGGACACGTTATCGTATCAGTGGTGCGAGCAGCGATCGGAGGTCTCGCGATGGCGGATCACGAATGGGGATACACCGGCGAGAACGGTGAGTAGCCGTTCACCTCTTTTCCTCAATAAACACCGACACTCACAAGCGAACGCGGACCGGTTTGTTTACTCCGTAGCACGTGACTTTACCCATGTAAATAAAAGTTTAAAAAACTCTACAGACATCGCCTTTACGTATTCAACTAGTTATGTTACGTAAATTGTCATATAAATAAGGTAATAGCAACAAATATGAGTCATGATAACAATTACGTTGAAACGAGCGACTTAAACTTGATGATCTATTTACCTTATAAGCACTTCATTCAACTGAACAAATCTTTCAATAAAACTTCATTTATTTCATCAAGTACCTAATATTTTTGAATAATTAGAATGTAAATATGAATCATAACATCGTAAAAGTGTACCGAACAAACAGTTTCACGGTATTTAAAATAACTTAACGTAGAAAAAAATATATTTTGTTTCTTATTGTACGTGTCTCCATATAATTAAACAGTATGAACATTCATGTAAAATAACAGATACTTTCGAATTTGGCTACAGTAATTTAAGGACAAAAAGCGGCTCATCAGATTTGGCCCACTTATTCATTTGTGTAACAGAGCCGGTTTATGATGTCCACGGCACGCTCACTGAACTCTTCACTACCCACTTTTTTGTCATTGTTTATATTAAGAGAGAGAACACAACATTTATAATCGTAATATATTAATTTGCATATTGAAATACATAAACATGAATCATAACTAAATACTGTTATGTATACATACACTACGCAGCAAAAAATCTTTTCATGAATTAACCTAACTTAAAATACTAAATTCTAATATGTTTTCATTAATTATACAAATAAAAAACAAATAACTAACACAGAGAAGTCAGTTAAGATAAATACGCAATGAGAATCTATTTATCTTCCGATTGGATCCTCGTATATAATAGTGCCGGTGGGTATGCCTTCAGAAATCTATATCTATAAGGGACTACTTTATGACTAGTTTTGACTATGGTCTAATCACCCTAACTTAGGGTATGCTCTGAGCCCCTCCGTGTGTACGTATAGTGAGCTGATGATGGAAAGGACTACTTTATAGATTTACTTAACGGCAGTAGAAAATTAAACACAAGCCAACTTAAGAGTATAAGTTTATCCGAGGATAATTCTACAAGAAAATTCAAAGCATTTTTTATACTTTTAAAGGAGGATAAATAACATAAAAATACGTCCCATGATATATTCTTAAAGATAATGCATCTGTTGTGTAATTTATTTTCCTTTAACCGTGCAATAGTTTAAGCGTTAATATTGAAGCGTTGAATATATGCATTGATATGCTAAAATAAGCTTTTAAAAATAAAACTCTATAGTTTCATACTAATTACTAAAGACTGCTTGCGTAAGACATTAAGAAATCCATTCTTTTTATTTACGGTTTTAAAATTCAAACATCAAACCTGTCATTACTGAATTTTGCTTAACACTTGTCATTTGTAAAGCGTAACAAATGAAAGTAAATGTTCCTTTATATTACAGCTATTGTTGAAGTCAGTATGTTAACAATGATTTACAGATCTATTCATGACATAAGTCTGTAGTCAACGTTTCGTGTCTAATTTTTTCGTTAATAATAACATCTAATCTACGAAACCATTCATCAGTATGTTGAAATTTTATTGAAGTAACATGTTCTTAATTCTCTTGTTACTAGCAAATAATAAGAAAAAAAACTTAAATACTAATGTCTAAAATTAAATTAAAAATCTTTGTATATTAAATATTATCAAGCAAATGAATGCTAATAACTTACATAATCTAAATAAATAATCTAATGAAGAAGTCATTTTTTTCTTATTCTTGAATGGTGCAATTTAATTTTAAATTAAACCAGAGAACTTCAAGTTTTTAAATAAAATAAGTAATCACGGATATATCTGATTTCAGCGAAATTTCACAAATAGGTAATGTAGATTTAACGATGTTTAACAATCGGTTATAGAGAAGACACTTATGTTGATAATTAAATGCAGATAACTGCGATAGTATCAACAAGCTTAGTCAATAAACTATTCAGCATTTCAATTACTCTTCTATTTATATCTTTAATCTTTTTATCTTACTTATTATGTATCATACATAACACTAATATTATAAATGGATGGATGTTTGTTAGAAGGTATTTCCAGAACGGCTGCATGGATCTCGTTGAAATTTCGCAGGCATGTAGACCATATTCTGGAAGAACACATAGGCTACTTATTAAGTTTTTTTCTAATACCCCGTGGACGGAGTCGCGGGTAAAAACTAGTATATTATAAATGCGAAAGCATAGACGGATAAATACATATCAGAATGACTGAATAGATCTCGCCGTTGGCATACGTGTAGAAAATATTCTAGAAGAGCACAATCTACTAAGTTTTTTTTTAATTCCGCGCGGACAGAGTCGTGGGCGACAGCTAGTAAGCCTAAAATGCTTTTCATTCTGAAGACTTCAGGTTTACACGAGATATCTCCAAGATATAATCTACTAGACAAGTGTGGCCGTGTTTGTTTACGAGTTGCAGATGAATAAAACATGCAATAGGCCCAATACTGCTTATGAATAAAAGCCTTTTAATTAAATAAAATAACACTTCGCCATAGAGCTTAAATATAGAATAGCTGGTTATTATCTGTAGTAATGTTTAATTTGATCATTAGGTTTTAAAAATAAATTAAAGAAAATCACAACTCCTTTTAATGAAATATAAATTTAAGTCATATAAATACCAAATATATACGCTTAACATATGTTTGATGACATTAACATAATTACAAATACTTGCTCTTACTATGTAAAATAAAATCGTTCTTTTATTAGACCAGTTGCCTAGTATTTTATTATTTAGAAAGTTGTACAAGCGTAATGTGGAAAGTAGCAGTAGTCGTAATGGAAGTATCTTTTAGTATCTAGAAAATAAAGATTTTTCCTTAAACTTTAATAGTATTTGTAAATTAAAAAGTTATTATTTTGTAAAATGTAAAATTATACATGAAAAGATTAAAATTCAAGGTTTCCTTCATTAATTCTGTATACACAACTGCACACATACACACTACACACTACGTAAAAATGTAAAACAAAAAAATACATGTAAATTTATCTGGTTCTTGTCGGTGTTTTTGTTTGACAATGTTTGCTCGTGACATGAGCTGTCTATTCTGAACTAAACTCTTGGAAAAATATTTCGTCAGGAGCTTAATAAATAAATGTGGTTTATAATGTAGAGATTAGCAAAAATGTGTAATAATTACATTCATAGGGGCGATAAATCAACAGAGTATTACTGTGGCTTTTGACGGAATTACTCTTGTATTGTCATCCCTTACATTAACTTTGACAAAACAGAGATAGCAATATGAAAATAATTCTGTCGAAAATCTCGGTTACGATTAAATCATTAAATAACGCATCTGCAATTTCGTACGTCTATGGGCAAAGGTTGCTTCGGTATTTCAGCGATTTCAGGTTGCCGCTTGCTTGTTTGCCACCTTATTATATAAAAAAAACATCAGTGCATAGTTGGGATTTATATTTTGCTTACGTTCAAATAAAACTCCGATTGTGAGACTATCATTGCATTGTTTTTGAATTTACGTGCAGATTTTTTTTCGGAATTTAAAATAGGTATTTAGTAATTTCTGAGTGTAAAGTAAGCAAAAGATTTTATTAAACATTATTTATCAATACAAAATAAATATGTTAAAAGCATTTACTTGCTTTGGGACCTCAAGTAGAATTAATTGGCTACTAAAATAAATAACATATAAATAAATTAACACATTATTAACTAAGCATTCCTTACAATTCAATCAATGTAATTTAACGAAGCAACGGTTTATTGTGGGTATATAAAAAGTATGTCACCTACAAATATATAATTGCTTTTAATTTAAATTTTACTTTAAAAAGTTCGAATTTTTTTTTTTGTTGTTAATAAAAAACCTATTGGCGAATCTATTTACAATCATTTTATAATACAAAAAATTGTAAATATTGAAAAAGCATGGGTGCTTTGAGTGCCAATGGCTAATGTAATATAGCTTTTTTAGTTTTGTTGCAGAAATATAGGTTAATAGTTGATTAATTGGCTATTAATATTTTTTACTTATTTACTAGCTTTATTACTTTTATCATTACAAAAAAATTTAAAACGCAGTTAGAATTTTAGGGCAAACAATACTTACTTGAAATTTAAATGGTAATGTCATTAAGTCACTTCCTATTGTGTTGTTTTTGATAACATTAATTAATATATGCTAATAAAATAGACAATTTTAAAGTATTATCCCTTTGTTTCGAATCTCGTCAATAATCTTTCTTAATGTTTGTTGGAATGTATCTTGAGAACGACACAACAGATCTCGATGAAAACATAGTCTGGAAGGCTATACTTAGGTTTTTTTAATTGCGCGTAGACGGAGTCGCGAGCGGCAGCTAGTAAATCTTAACATGTCAAAATATAACACGTCTTTGTGAATGAATTCGTTCGATATGCAATTCATTGGTACTTTACAGTTTGCTTAGGCAAGACACAACAGACGTCTTACGATTTATTGATCAGTTTGTGGTATATTTAATAGAAGTGTGATATAATAACTACTAAAAGAGAACAGATGTTAAGGGAAAGTAGGTACCATTTAATAACAGACAATTACATAGTATCATTTAAGAGGGATCAATAGCTTCAATTGAATGATGCGCAGTCGTTAACAAAGCAGAACCTTTGTTCCGTCCGAGCGCACACGCAAATGCTGTAATCGTTTCACTCGGTCTGCCATGACCTTGACAATGCCTGATAGATAGACAGATTGACTCTTAAGTTTATACAAGTCAAGCCTTATTTAAAATTCAATAAGTTCTAAGACCTTAGACAGAATATTTTGCAATAAGATCTGCTTCTTTATGCAATGATTTGATTAATAAATATCTTTGTTAGCATATTCATTTATTTTGAATCAAACTTAGTTCTTTCTGAACTATTATTTAT